TTGTTACGCGCAGCATGTTTTTAATTTTAAGTAACGGGCATAATGTTTTTAATTTTAAGCAATTTTTTGTAATATTTCTATTGTAAATATGTTAACATTTTTAAATTATTTTAAATGTAATTTACTTCTGACTTTTACTTCGCCCTTTTAATTTATGTTGAATACTTTTATCAAAATTAATGGCATATTATTTTACCTTGATTTATTTAATGTATAGATTAGACGTTATATTAATTAGGAATTACGCGATCGACGTAATCAATAATTTTTTCAACTCCAATTTGTTTTCCACGTGATTTATCTACTATTAATAGAAACAATATTTTCTGCGTATCACTTAGAGATATGCCTTCGACTCATATACTATAGAAAGGTATATGGATGCTGGGTCTATCTTATATGTCTATGCTCCTAATCAACCAAACGCTACTGTGATATCTAGAACGAAAAAACGCTTCATAACTCGCCCAATTTTTTCATAACATGAAGCATAAAATTTAATTTAAAAACCACACACACACACACACATGTAAATTTTTAATATTTTATGACAAAACAATAAATTAGATGTTTTTCGTTATGATTGCGAGACATATATGCCACGATGCAAAACTTTTTACAAATGTTTCATCAGAATTACATTGTAAGTACATAATACATGCTAAGTTTTGTTATATCTGTTTAAATAGATAAACGTTTGTTTCAATCGTTTTTTAAATTATAACGATTGTGTGTTTGTGTATGTGCGCGTATATTAAGATGTTTATCACGTTGTAGTCTCAAATCTCGCTTTCGTTCCAAAATGTTACCCAGTGTCAATAAAGGATATAATGAGATTAAAAGAATTTGTCAATAAATATCACCGTCTATGTGTGTTAACTGGAGCAGGAATATCCACGGAAAGTGGTATTCCAGATTACAGATCATTCAAGGTCGGTCTTTATGCCAGAAGCAATCGCAAACCAATTCTTTATAAGGAATTTTGTGATAGCGAAGCAACGAGAAGACGGTACTGGGCTAGAAATTATATTGGATGGTCAAGGTTTGTTAATCTTTTTGTAATTCAAACAAATAGATATATTCTCTAAAGAAAAAGTTGATAGGGATGTGTCGTCATCTCTTATCAGCACATATTTATAGGTTTTCCTCTCTTAAACCAAACATTACACACGAGCTATTAAAACATTTAGAATATATTGGAAAGGTGGGATGTATCGTTACACAGAATGTAGATAATTTACATTTAAAAGCAGGAAGTAAGAAAGTGATTGAGCTGCATGGAACAGCGTTCAGAGTAATGTGTTTAAATTGTGATCATAAGATAAGCAGATACTATCTTCAAAGAGTATTTCAAAAACTCAATCCTTCTATGATTGCAACTACCGAGATGATAAGACCTGATGGTGACGTAGAATTGTCACAGGTATACATATATACAATAGTCATATTTGTGTGTATACATATATATATCTATATATATACACATACATACTTGTAATGTTTTAAATATATACACTATTTTAAACAAAAAATATTTGACAGACACAAGTGGAAGGCTTTAATGTTCCTACTTGCGATAATTGTGGTGGCATATTGAAACCAGATATCGTATTCTTTGGGGACAATGTACCACACGAGAAAGTACAAAACGTGAAAGCTAATGTAGAGAGTTTAGATGCTTTGCTAATTTTAGGAACGACTCTTAGTACATTCTCCGCATACAGAATAGTATTGCAAGCGATTGATGCCAAGAAGCCAATAGCAATAGTAAACATTGGCGAGACTAGAGCTGATAAATGTGTAAATTTAAAAGTGGAAGGAAGATGTGGAGATATTCTACCAAAGATTTGGCAACTTAATGTCTCAAAAGATTGTATATGATAACAAAAAAGTAAATAATTTTTAAATTATACATTAATTTATCCAATTATTGAATATTCTCAAAGATTGTGTGTGTGTGTGTGCGCGTGCGCGCAGGGTATTATAATAATTTTATTATTAGATATAATTATGCAATTTTTTAAATATGTATATTATAATATGACAATATAAATAAAAAGGGGCAAAGAGCCGACAATATAATAAAACCAAAAAACTTTAATTCAAATAATAATATATATAAGAATAAATTAAAGATTTTAAAGATTTTATTAGATCATAACCTTGTTTCTCTTCATTAATTTTAATAATATATGTACCTACAATGTTCAACAAACGTTTCGACTCGATCGGGTCATTCTCAATGTTACAGTAAATATAAATTCGTTATTAAATTCGTTATTTACGTGATATTCTTCGCAATATAGAATATTAGAATATATTATCGAATTTAGATTGACTCTTATTCGCCATTTTCAACGTATTATTTATTGTTTATAAAAAGAGTCCTTTAATTCTTCAATTATTTGTTTTCAAACCGCAGGCTGTAATAACGCAGATAATACATTGCAATTCTGTTCATTAAGTAAAAATTTACAGTTTCTAGATTAATTGCGTTTCAAGACCGAAAAATCCTTCGGCGCGCAAATATTTAGGAGGGGGGTTATTTCAGATTATTAGAGTTGCGTTGCAAGACCGAAAATCTTTCGGCGCCCAACAATTAAGAAGAGGGGACATTTAAAAATCAGATTATTAGATTTGCGTTGCAAGACCGACAATTGTTCGGCGCGCAATTTGAGGGGACTTCATATATTAATAGAACGTTATTTCTCACTTTGAATAAATATTGCGAAGAATATTACTACATCGACTCGCCATCAGAGGTCTATCGATATTCGCAAATTCTCGCAAGTGCTGAGATACGCGTATATCTCTTTATATAGAATCTCGATTTAATAACTTACACCGGCGTCTAAGGTAGGCTTCCACTACAATACCTTACTGATGAGTCCAGTAGTGGAAGCCGGGACGAAACGCCAAACATTACGTGATATTCTTCGCAATATAGAATGTGTTCCAAAATTGACTGCCAGTACTGAAAACCTATAGTGCTCGTAACGTAAACTATAGATTTTCAGTACTGGCAGTCAATTTTGGAACACAGCCATAGAATATTAGAATATATTATCGAATTTAGATTGACTCTTATTCGCCATTTTCAACGTATTAGTTATAAATTCGTTATACAAAATTCGTTAGGTTAATACAATTTCTGAAAAATTTAAACCTATTGTCAATATGTTTAATTGCAAACTGTTTTCCTTTTTGACATTGACATTGCATTATCTGACTTGGTTGATATGAGTGTGACTGCAAATTCGCTTCTTTTATAATGTAATAATGGATCTTGTGCACTTATTTCTTGCTGGTTACCAGTTTTATACGTGTATTTTTTATCTCTTAACATATTAGATATCTACAGATTTAAATGACAAGGTATACTAAATATTTATATATGTATATTGTTAATTTCTATCTATTTCTTTTTAATCACGATTATTTTTGAAATACTAAGTTTGAATTTGCTCATGAATTTTTTTCGAATACCAAATTTTATACATTCTGACTTTTGAATTTTCATCTTGTTGACTCAATGAAGAACATGAACGGAGTAATTTTTGTAGGATAACGAATTTTGTATAACGAATTTATTTGTATTTACTGTAAGTAAAAAAACGTAAGAGTCGAAACATCTGTTGAACATTGTAGCTACATATATTATTATTTGAATTAAAGTTTTTTTGGTTTTGTTATATTGTCGGCTCTTTGCCCCTTTTTATTTATATTGTTATACTTACATTGTTTATACTTACAGAGTCTTATATTAATTAGTATTTTTATATTATAACATTTTTTAATAGAAAATATATGTATATTCAGTTTAAAGAAATATAAAAATAAATAAATAGAAATTCCTTGGAAAATCATATGTTTCGTTTATTTAATTTTGTAGTCATTTTTTTTAAATATGTCGTAAATATTTGTAATACATTAATTTTATCAATGGGAAGACTTTGCCTCCTTTGCATTTTGTAAACTTTGAGTGATGTACAATTTTGCTAAACTTTGGGCACAGAATTGCGAAATATGTTCACTGTATGTATTAATTTGTCCAGCAACAATCATTGGATTTAATCTTGGTGGAACTGGGAGGGGTCTCATCAATTTATTGATGTCGTCATCAGGCAATGGTGGTTCGTCCTTTGCAGCTCTGGCAGCGTTTTCTTGAGCTCTCTTGGCCAAGAGCCTATTCTTATCTTGCTGCTGTCGAACCACTAATTGTTGATATCTATTAAACTTCATTGCTTCCTGATTCAATTCATCCACTCGATCCATTAAACATCTCAACTGGTTCTCTAACACTGTGGCTGTTCCAAGATCTAGATACTTTGTACCTTGTTCCTCAGGAATCATTTCATCCAATTCCGACATCATAATATTTGTCAGATTACTGTTCTTTATGACTACTGGTATTTCGACAAAGAGACTCTCGTATCCAATCTTTAAAGTACGCAGAGCTTCAGGAGTAAATTCATTTTCCTTGTACATTTGTATCGCTTGCGGAGTGAGTCGATACGCTTTAAGAGTGAGAAAACCCCTGGCAGATTTTGCTGTGTCATAAATAAGTACAACAGATTCTTCGATGGAAGTTTGATAGTGGTATTGTGACTCCAGCAGGGATAGATTTAGAAAGTTACCGACATCCGCACTCTGGTACCAACCAACATGGAAGTGATCAACGTTCACCCTAGACATCATTAAATAAAATAATATCTTTATGATAATTTCTAAGGCGCAACTATGTTAAGTATTTCTGAACATTCACATTGACACATACCATCTTAGTCTCCGCATCATGGCGAGCTGATATTCCTCTTCATCCATGATCTCATCATTTTTGGGAAACGGAAAACAGTTGGTGATCTCCAGACGGTTCTGTACAACCAAGCCGAGAAGAGCACCCTGAGCGACCTCCATGTTGCCAGAGGATTCCTCGTGGCAATGCTTCACCATCTTCATCACCACCAGCCCATCACATTGCACGTAGTCTATACGAGGTTCCACCTCGGGAATCCTTCTCGACGTCGTTCTCGAAACCATTTCTGATAGACTTAATTCCTCGTAACTACAAAAAACCGCTACATTCAACCACTCGGCCGACTTATGTTAACGATCAACGGACTTAACCCAAAGCCCAAAAAATAGGGAGAAGAAGAATGGAAGACTTGCGACTTGCGACCAGCGAAATTGCACGCCATCTAACACTTGGAGTATTAACTGTTTGGTCGGCCATGTTAAGCCCATTCTACATTGGTCGTATCGTAGCATCGTAAAGCGGGGAGCACAGCTTTTGCGTAACGCATAAACCATATACATAAAGAATTTGATTGGTCCATTGACTCATGCATAAGAAAATGGGCCAATGAAATTCCTTATGCATATGCTTTATGCGTTATGCAAAAGTGTGTGTTTCTCGCCTTAAGCGTTGTGAGACTTCTAATGGGCCTTCTACAATAATGGCTCCCGCAGACAGAACGCGGTAACGCTTGCCGCGCAGCTGAAGTTGCCGCAATAGCCAATCAGCGTCTCGCTGGCAAGACATTGATTGGTTATCGTGCCAACTTCCGCCGCGCGGTAAGCGTTTCCGCGTTCTGTCTGCGGGAGCCATAAGTCATAAGTCATAAATCGAAAGTAAGAAATTAAAAATTGACGACTGTGATTGGTCCATTTCTAGCTTATGACTTAAGGTTGATTTATACTGGCCGTAATCTGTTAACATATGCCGTAATCTGTAAAAATTGACCAATTATAATCGATTATTCCCCTCTCATTCGACTGTGATTGGTCAATTTTTACATATTACGGCATAAGTTAATAGTTTACGGCCAGTATAAATCAACCTTTATGATTTGTGACTTACGGCTTATTGTAGAAGGCCCATAATAGGCCTTCTACAATAAGCCATAAGTCATAAATCGGAAGTAAGAAACTAAAAATTAACGACTGTGATTGGTCCATTTCTAGCTTATGACTTATGATTTGTGACTTAAGATTGATTTATACTGGCCGTAAACTGTTAACTTATGCCGTAATCTGTAAAAATTGACCAATTACAGTCGAATGGGAGGGGAATAATCGATTATAATTGGTCAATTTTTACAGATTACAGCATAAGTTAACAGATTACGACCAGTATAATCCAACCTTTACGGCTTATTGCAGAAGGCCCATAATTGACACATCGGATTGGCTGTTGCAACAAATTCGTGACCTGCGACGCCTACGATACGACCAATGTAGAATGGACTTTAGATATGAAACGTTAAAGACCTCTTTCACCAACGCCGATTAACTTAGGGTGCGGTCGAGTTGCCACTACGAATGCTTCGAAGCGTTTCTTGATTGGTCAATTTGTAAAATTCTTTCTTCTGATTGGTTAATCAAACGCTTCGAAGCATTCGTAGTGGCAACTCCGACCGCATCCTTAATCGACGATTAGTCCATTGTGGAATTGACCAATTGCGTCTGTCGTCAAAACTAAATGATAAATGCGATTGGTCAATTCCAATGGACTAATCGTCGATTAAGTCAATCGGCGTTGGTGAAAAAGGCCCCAAGGCCATCACACGTATGAAAATTTTAGTAGAATCGTAAGGTCTTAAGCAAATCGCAAAATCAATGAAACAAACTTATATTTATTCCATTTCAACTTATTGCACCGTGTGTACTAGATCAGAGACAGTACAAGGACAAAAAATAGATCCAAGATTACGATCTCACATTTTAATACGCTAAACTGTGATTGGCCGATTTGCTTAAGACCTTACAATTACTACTAAAATTTTTGTACGTATGATGGCCTTTATGCATTTCATGTGTTTTGGGCTTAAAACCCGTGGCACAGAAAAACGTAAAGCCGTAAACGTAATCAGTAAGTGAATTGACCAATCACAATTGAGAACGTAGCGGCCGCCGCTTACTTTCTCAACTGTGATTGGTCAATTCGTTTACTGATTACGTTTACGGCCTTACGTTTTTCTATGTGCTACGGGCTTAAGCCAGAAACACATAGAAAAACGTAAGGCCGTAAGACGTAATCAATAAGGAAATCGTAACATTGGATTCGCTACCGGCCTTATGGGCCTTCTACAATAAGCCATAAATCATAAATCGGAAGTAAGAAACTAATAATTGACAAGTGTGATTGGTCCATTTCTAGCTTATGACTTATGATTTGTGACTTACGGCTTAAGGTACAATTTCATGCTGACGCTTGACGCGTATTTTTAGCGTCAAAACAGATCACGTGATCAAAATTGATGCTTAATATTCGTCAATTTGTATCACGTGATCTGATTTGACGCTAAAGCGGGGAGCACAGACTTTTGCATAACGCATAAACCATATACATAAAGAATTTGATTGGTCCATTGACTCATGCATAAGAAAATGGGCCAATGAAATTCCTTATGCACATGCTTTATGCGTTATGCAAAAGTCTGTGTTTCTCGCCTAAAAATAAGCGTCAAGCGTCAGCATGAAATTGTACCTTTATTGTAGAAGGCCCATTACGGTCTCTACTGTGATTGGCCAAAACGCTTATTGATTACATTTACGGCCTTACGTTTTTGTATGTGCCATGGGTTTTTTACGGCTTAACATTGTGTATACATACATACATACATACATACGTAATACACATAGCATGGGCCCGTATTCAGAACGCACTTTTATCGATAAAAGCGCGCTTTTATCTTTGAAATTCTATAGTATACGTGACGTAAATTATACCATATTAGAGCGCTAACATCGTTATTAGCGCGTTCTGAATACGGGCCATAGTATAGATCATAGAGATAGTAGTACTAGAGTACGCATTGGCCTGGTTTAGGGTGCAAACCCATGCAGCGGAATAGCGTAACGCGGAACTAGAATCCTAGATATCAGAGAAGCGCAACCGGCTTAAGACAGTATCGCAAAATTACTAAGAAAGGTATTAAAAATGGCGTCGTTTGCAGACGAAATATGAAATCAACCAATCATCTATTAGTCAGCCATATTTAATATCACTGAATGAATATCATGATTGGCTGACAGTCAGCTAATCAGGACGCGGAACATCGATTGCGCTTCTCTGAGGTAGAGTCCTAGATATCAGAGAAGCGCAACCGATGTTCCGCGTCCTGATTAGCTGACTGTCAGCCAATCATGACATTCATTCAGTGGTATTAAAAATGGCTGACTAATAGACGATTGGTGGATTTCATATTTCGTCTGCAAAAGACGCCATTTTTAATACTTTTCTTAGTAATTTTGCGATACTGACTTAAGCCGGTTGCGCAGCTCGGTCTATGGTTTCTTATGTCTATGTTTGATACGAATATAGTAGTGTATGTACATACCGCGTATCAAGTGCACGATGTAAAGCATGGTCTACAACCAGGCCAATACATGGAGTAAGAAATTGACTAATCACAGTCGAATGTGAGAAGAATAATCAATTGTTATTGGTCAATTTCTTATGCCCATTTTCATCAATGCAGATTAACTTTAATCTCGATTTAACTTAGGGCTGCGCAGAATAAAAGGAACAAGGAACAGAGAACAGAGAATAAGAATTTCAGCCTATCAGAAATCATGTACTATGGAATACACACTGCTTATTCCATAGTATATGATTTCTGATAGGTTGAAATTCTTATTCTCTGTTCCCTGTTCCTTTTATTCTGCGTAGCCCCTTACTGTTCATCTTTTTCTAATTTTTAGAATTAGAAAAAGATGAAGTGCGAATCAGAGCAAATTGAACCGAGATTTATGCCCATTTCCACCAATGTAGATTAACTTTTTAATCTCGGTTCAATTTGCTCCTCGTCTTTTTCTAATTCTAAAAATTAGAAAAAGATTAACAGTAAATTAAACCGAGATTGTAGACGTGCATTGTAGACGACGCATGAGGGCTGCGCACAATAGAGGAACAGATATTAGATATTAAAAATATTAATCTATCAGAATCGTGTATTCCGGTGTAACTGGTATCTGATAGGTTAATATTTTAATATTTATAATATCTGTTCCTCCATTGTGCGCAGCCTGAGACTTGGCCTGGTTTAATCGTGCACTTGTACGCGTACTAACTTAATTATCTTAATTTCAGCGATATATGTAAATGTATACACAATAAACGTATTTAGTTAAACATTTTGATGCGTATTGTACCAATTTTATTCATCGCTCTTTAAATACATTGCTTAAATTAAGATAATTTAATAGAAAGTAACTAGTTAGTACGCGTATCAAGTGCACGATGTAAACCAGGCCACTTGCGACGCTGCTACGATACGACCAGTGTAAATTAGCCCCAAGTTTAAAGTTTATACTCGGTCAGTTCGGTGATACCGGTGATACGTTCTACGTGTACGATTCGTTCGTATTTGTGCAGGTGTCGTCGATCGTTGTCCATTACGCGTAGTGCTTTTGTGAGAGAATAAAGAATTGTGCGACACGCGAAATAGCAAGATTGCGACAATATGGTAAATCTTTACGCTATGTCTTAATTCAACAACATAACTCGATGGTAATCCTTGACCATCGCTGTCTTCTTTTTTGCAGATGCAATTTATGCTATTGTTCAGTCGCCAAGGGAAGCTTCGTTTACAGAAGTGGTATGTCGCGCATCCAGATAAGTTGAAAAAGAAAATTACGCGCGAATTGATCACCACGATACTCGCACGAAAACCAAAAATGTCGAGTTTCTTAGAATGGAAGGACGTTAAGGTTGTTTACAAAAGGTATATGATTCAATAATGATGTATATAGTAAGCTAAGGTCCGTTTTTACCAATATAGTTTAATCTTGGATTAAACCTTTTGTTCATCTTTTTCTAAAGCTGATTCTGTAACAGATTGGTAGCCTTAAATTTTATCAGTAAATTGGTGAGGTGGACTATTGGCCAACTTCACTGATTCACCAATAAGACTTATATTTGTATTCATAGTCACTAGTCAGGCCTTGTATTTAATGCTTTTTCATCTTTAATTCTTCTTTAGATATTTTGTAGTCAATAAAATAATTTATTGAGTGTCAGAAGATAAATTTAAGGGGGCCTTAAATATAAGATGTGACTATGAAATATAAATATGGGTATTATCAGCTATCGACTCATTGTAGCATAATTCTTAGAAT